GGATGAACTGGCTGCAGCTCTGCTTGATCCGTAGCTGTTGGTCTATTTATGGCTCGTATGTTTTAATTATTCTTAAACTCGACCCTGAGTCGTGCTGCTCTGAGCCCTCCATCCACCCCGACAGCCTCCCTGCAGCTCATAAAGCAACGCCTCATTAACCGGAATTCAAAAAAACCTCTACGTTTGCAGTTTTCTATTTTCTCTCCCGTTTTCACCGAGAAGAGGTTTTTCGGCATCGTTTCCTCGAGCTGTGTTCGTCGGCGCCGGCGTTACAGTTTTTTGGAGGAGCAGCTGATTTGCATATCCCACACACTCACCAACAAACACCAGCGGCCGCGCACACGCAGCAACACAGCAGCAGTCAGGATCTGAAGCGTGGACGCTCGCCACTCACACAGCAGCACCTGTCAGCTGGAGACGTGGGACAGCCAAGGGCTTGTTTGTTTGTTTCTGCCCCTCTCTCCCTGTCCAAGGTCTTCCCTCGCTCCCTCTCCTCCCCCTCACCTCTCCACCTGCTGTTCCTTCCCTCGCTCCATCCCGCCTCGCTGTCTGTTTCGCTTCATACCAACCATCATAGCGCCTTCCATTAGATCGCTCGCTCGCTCGCCGTCTCTGCACCTGTGACTGAAAAACAGACTTGCTCAGTCTCTCCCTGCCTTCCTGCTCATTACAGCCCCGAGGCAGCCACTCCATCACGGAGAAAAGGCAGAGATAAGCTACAAGAGTACACCTGTGCCTGGTATGAATGCCAAACCCAGAGTGGGTGACAGCCAATTCCAGGCCAAATAATGGAATCAGCAAAGCTCGGCTCCAGACGAGTCAGCCCGACGGCTTTATCTGCAACTCCCGGTTTCAAAGCACGTTACGAAGCTCATTATCAAATGAGAAAAGCAATCAGGGGAGAAAAAAAAGGAGAGAAATGTTGACGGCGCCACAGTATCGCTGGCGAGGGATTAACTTTACAAAGCTGGTTTACAGAAGGAACAGGTGGGAGAGAGAAAGAAACGTGTTTTCATCTCATCAGCAAAGTGCCGCTGAGTGTTATTTGATAGAGGAAACATAAATACGTCGTATCAGCAGCAGCAGCCAGAGGAAACACGCTCTCAATCAGCGGCTGGAAGAAAAGAGATAATTACACCGATAGACGTCTATTACTCAACTAAATATTACCTCAAACTCAGCATGTTGACTCAGGGGCACGATATCAAAGCGTCGTTTCCCCCAAAAGTGTGACGAATCAGAATCAACTTTATGTTGTTCATGTTTGTTCAGGCAGATGAGGAAAAAAAACAAACGGTAAAAGCTGAGGAGTAAAGAAATCAACTAGAACAATTGAAATAAGAACATAAAAACAATAAAAGCAGCATGAACACGTGCAAAGTGATCAAAACACACTGAAAGTGACAGAAGATGCAGCCGTGCTCAGACTTTATGACGTCATTTTGTACTGATTGTCTCGGATGTTTCCTGGATGTAATCTGATTACTTCCCTGAAACAACTGCATATAAATGTTCCTCAATTGACAGTTTTTTTCGTCCTTTTAAATGTGATGAAACTTGAGTAAAACATGTTAATTGCAGACGATGAGCTAGAAACGTGTCCTGAATACGTCTCTAAATCCTGAAGCCCTCCTTCTGATCTTCAACCACAACAACTGAACTCCAAACACCAAGCAACCCGCTCAATAATAAAACAACTCTGGGCAATAATCAAAAAGTCAGCAACCGCTCCGTGAAGCTCAGGTGAGTTTTCCAACGACTGGTTGTTTAAAGTTAAGGAACAAGTGTTTGCCTGATGCTTGGTCACTGTGAGACCGGTTTAGAGGCAGAAAACCTTCTGCCTAATATAGCAAAAGGATTAATACCATAATGTCCAAACTATTGAGGCACCTGAATACAAGCCGCACCCATTAAGTTTAAAAAGAAAACCAGGTGTGTACATCTACAGGCTGCAGGTGTCCACGTTGGAACATGAGATATTTACACAGAAAGATGTTTAAACTTTTAATTAAATCCGTACCGTAGAGGCTTTTTTTTACAGTGAAAAACGAAGTACGATCCGGCACCGCTCAGAGTTCAACAACACAGATTCATTTTCTATGTGTTGCTCCACTGATAATGATTCTGTGTTAAAGCTCAGCGGTCGAGTCTACATTAGTGAACGTAGATCCTCCTTCTTATTATCTCCTCATGACAGAGGGTGTGTGTGTGTGTGTGTGTGTGTGTGTGTGTGTGTGTCCACTCTGTAATTATAGAGTCACTGAACCCGAGGCTCAGTCTGACTCCATCAGCCTCTGATTCGTTGGGCGGATGGACGATAACTAGACGTGTGTTTTCATGTTCTTTGTGTGTGTCGCTGCGTAAAAAGGCCGTTTTAAATATCAAACAGCGTCCCACCTTTCCTCCAGACACGACTGACCTCTGCATGGAAACGCCGCTGTGTGTCTGAAACGCCACAGCTGGATGATCGGACACTGTTTCTCTAGCCGGGGCGTCTCGCGCTGCATTTACAGGGATGGCTTTTGTCCGAATACACAAAAAAAAGGATCATGAGACGTGTTTGAAAAACGTCCAGAAATGCGTCTATAATCTGAGCTAAACATCCACGGTGCTCGCTTCCTTTCCTGACCGTCCTACATCAGACTAATTAACTACCAGTGTGGCAAAAACCGAACAACAAGGTCTCTGCAGGTTTAAAGTACGACTCACTAACCTGGAACATCTGAAGTTTATCCACCGGACGCCTGCGACCTGCCTCTGGTCCGCTCTGAGCGCCTTAATTAATTTAGCTACTTCGACTTTGTGTTCTTTAAAGAAATTAAAGCACAAAAGCGTCGGTTTGTGTTCTCCGTGTGCTTACGTGTCCGACTGCATGAATCTCTGCTAATAGCTCCGAGTCCATAAGGCTGAAACAGCGCCGTGTAAACTCCTGACGTTAAATCCATTTTATGTTGCAGGCTGACCTGCAAAAAAAAAAAAAAGAAAGAAAAAATACGGCTGCACTTGCTCTCCCGCTAATTGGAATAAGACCAGAGATGCATTTATTTACAGAATATAAAATAGTGGCCTCCAGTTTCAGGCTCCGATCAAGGCCTCGTCTCTCCGACTCATTAAGGTAATCGATGAGCCGCTCTACGTTGTCCAGACCGCAGCAAGCAGCCGACCGGACAAACACATCCAACAAATCAGAAAATGTGATTAAACATGACAGACAGTTATAAAATAAAACAAAAATCTCATGTAATCGACCACAGAAATCAGAACGAGGGATCTGACAGTGTGAGCTGTAACAGAAGGAACAGCTGAGAATAAAATCATAAGATGAGAACCATAGAAAACCTCTTCATCGTAAACACAGAAGCTTTTCTACAGCGTCAGAAACTTTATGGTCAACAAACAGCATCTGGATTCTTCTCCAGCTCTGAGATAATTATTTTATATTTCAACTATGTTAAACCAGAAAATACAGAAACGCTACAGCATCACCAGAACGTCACTTCTTGTGACTGCAGAGCAGCAGCATTAATAAGAGCTCCACCACCTGCAGGCCTGTCAGAACCACATCCTAAATGCTGTTCTTTTATTCCTGTGCAGCTGTTGGACTGTCAGGACTCACTTCAGTAAAGAAACTGCTGCTGCACA